AAGTCAACCGTCACCGACATACAACCATGGCCACTATCTTGTAAATCAAGGATATAGCCATGTCATTTTTGGTAAAAAAAAATCATGAAATTAATATTGATTTATGTACAATTCAAACATAAAAATGTAGGATTTTATTGAAATTTCTCAACTTGTAATTGTACAGTCGTAAGTAGATCTTGTTGTATGATAAGTATTCGGGGAAACAAATGTGATGTTAACCATGAAGGGCAAACACACCTTGCATTCACCTGATATGTAAAACCCCACCCCCTAAAGATTTCTAAAAATAAGTCTATTCACATGTAGATTAAGGTTCAAATTTATGAAAAATAATTAGTACATGTTTCCCTTAATTACCTTAGCTGCACTTTTGTTTCCAGAGATTATCTCAGAATCAAAAACACTAATCTTTTTGAAAAATAAATGTGTAATAGGTGTTTTAAAACCTTGAGGTCAAGGCCAATGTTACTAAAATAGACTGGGGGTTGGGGGTACTGTCAGGCACAATGGTTGGGGCCTTAACATTGTTGACTTGTCAGTGTTCTAGAGAAGGTCGTAAGGTCTATATACTTGTATATAAACAAAGGGTGTGGATGTCAGCTCAGAAAATCTGTATTTTTAATGCTCATTAATAACAGCATTTAAAGCTTAATAAACATAGGTAAATATTGTGTTTGAGCTATAAAATAATTGTTCAACATGCTTTACGACAGACATTAAAATTATAGTTCCTGTTCTTGAAGTTAAACAGATGTTGATGTCATGGTTATAATATTAATGATACCATTGTTTCTGGACAAGGAAACTCAAATAGTTCCCGACAAGTGACATTTAGTGGAATACTGTACTGTAGAAGAATTACCGTATTTAACCTTATAAGCGCACTGTGTACTTAACAAAAACACAGGAGGGGTGCACTTAATAACCCTTTTATGATCAAACCGGCCGAAATCAGCTGCCCAGAGTGGTTTGCAGTTGCATTGGCACGTTGTCGCTAAGGACGTGAGTTGTGTATCTGAAAGATTTCGTGAGATGATGCAGCAGCAGATCTTCCTGTTCAAAATAGTTGCCAACGTAGTCATGCCTAGGTGAAAAACGACAATGTTGCCGGAGTTTTTACAAGACAAACGTGACTGACAACTTAAAAACGAGTGAGGACAACACAAACTAAAGCGATGATGAAAGTTTTTACAGTTGATTTAGATGATAATATAATTCCATAACGGGGAATGACACAACAACAGAATCAGAAACGATAAGAACTTCTTGAAATTGAAAAATGGTTACGCTATTGACATAGATTTTGAATAAAAGGATCTATTTGATGATTAAATGAGCGATGATGAAAATGATAACGTTTTGGGTCAGTTGGACTTGAAACTTTTGCGCAATCTTTCAAAGCAAGTGGCAAACCCTTGCGTCATTATAAGAAGCTAGACCTCTGACTTATATTGCTAAGTAATTGTGAACGTTTTAATTAGCTCATTTACCCCTTAAGACACATTTGAACTCTTCCAATTCAAAGGTTGGAATAGTTCATTATGAAATTTTAGGGGTGAATGAGTTAAGTGCACAGGGTGACATCCTATTTCCCAGAAAAAAAGTGGAGATGTACTTATAGGAACAGGGGTGCTTATTGGATCAAATATGATATGGAAATATTTTTAAATGATAAATAGACGTCGGTTGAGTGACATTTTAATGTGTGGTACATGTGTTGAATAATTAGCAATGAAATATTTGCGGTCTTAATTGTCCCCAGCCCCAATACACAGTCACTTTTCGCCTATTTTTAAGCATATATACTGTTAGCCTATACATGTACTTATTTTAGCAGCAAAATATTATTAATAACTATTACCATATCATATATATTATTGTTTTCAATTCAAAGCGCTTAATTGTTAGTTAATTGTTAGGAGGCACAGTAGTCTAGTGGTCTAGTGGTCTAGTGGTAGGACGCCGTGCTCGTGGCTGAAGGGTTGCAGACACATCACTGTGTTGTATCTTTGAGTAAGATACTTACTCCGCTTGTTCCAGTCTACTCAGCTGTAAATGACTACGTGGTTGGGCAGTACTAGAATTGTTGAATGCTAGCTGTGAGCGCCGAAAAGGCAGCACTGGCTGTATGCTACCCAGGGAGTTGAGAAAGATATTGGCTAGTTGCAAAGGCCCTATAACCACAGATAATAATTAGTGAACGGCTTTGAGACGACGTACAAACTAGGTTGTGATAAAGCGGTATTAATTGTGATGACCACTTGAATTTGATTCAATTTTCCATACCAGATACTTAAAACTTAACTTGAAATTTTCTTTTTAGCTTGAAAGAGCCTTGCTTTAATTAAACAGAAATATTTAAGCATGTTCCTTAAATCTCATATAAAACGTAAACACATATTTTATGTGAGAAAGATAATTATATTTACATATTTTCAATGATTATGAAAAATGTTAAAGTCAACTCTTTAACACTTTCATCAAAGTTGGCCATAGAAAACGCACATATGGTTTGGCTGGTAACCTTTTTCCTTTCAACAACTTGGGAATAGAACCCTGGGCGATTTGATGAAAGACGTGCTATCCACTGCACCACCTGACCATCCTACATGTGATGGAATGATTCAAATTACATAAATTTATTTTACATAAATTTCCTAAATGGATGTCGTTAGTCATCACATAACTAAGATCCCCTCTATGGAATTTGGTTTTCAGTACTAGGTAATTAGTAATAACACGAAGATAATACGTTCAAAATTTCATTGGCAATAGTTACTTTCTATGTATGTACCGACAACAAAAAATACCGATCTACACAAACATATAAACAAAGATCTATTCCCCTGGCCGCGACTGATTTATGAAGTATATATTTGGCTGTACATGTATGTCCAGTGTTGCAGAACTTAGGGTCGTTCTATAACACAATACACGTTAAAACTACAATCGTGACATATGGACATGGAAAATGAAGTCAGTTAAATATTTGGTGTGGCATTGACACGATTTTAGTCCACTACTAGCAACGGTAGACGTTACGACATCTCAGTACAGGTATATACACACGTACATTTTTTGTACGTAGCCTGCGTAAAGTTTAGGCTTAAATGTCAACCAACATGTTTCGATACAGTTTAAATGTCTGGCAAAATTAGAGTTTATCAAACTTAGGAATATTAATCTTGTACTACAGATAGAGGGCTCCTAAAATGATCAATAAAAGTCATAATATTTCTTATTATATATCAAAGTTTTACTTTACACACAAGCAATTTACGTATTAAAAGTGTCGCAATGTTTCAACACTGACTAGCTATAACGTTGCAGGATAAAGTGTTTGAAGTAAAACTTTAATATTACGTATTTCCAAACTGATGAATCTTATTGAAAATAATCATTTTTGCATAAAGTCAAAGAAATCTGACAGTCATGCAGCATATGCGATATATGTAGTACAAGTATAATTGCACTTAGGTCTTAATCGTCATCTAAACGAAAATGTGAACATACAGTTTATATATATAATATATTAGTTTGCTGATGAGATTAAAACCTCAAACACACCAAACCAAAACATGTAAACGGTCTGGTACATTGAGAAAACAGGTATTGATGAAGTGTTATAAAGATTTTGTCATAAATCTACAAAAAACATGCATGGTATGTAATAGAAACATAAGGAAAAAAAAGAAATTCAGCTTTCTCTGGATATGCATTTTGTATTAAGATTAATATACTACTGTTAAAAATATCTATTTCCAACTGAACACAAAACCAGAGAGTGAAGATCTGCCCCCAAATGGATCCCCTTGCCCCTGTGACATCACATGGAAGGGGTCTATACATTTTAAGTTCCCTTTGTTTTATTGCAATTCTTCAGGGGAAATTTTCAAAATAAAGAAATGTGAGAAAGGTATGGTCATGAAAAACCAATCTATTAGAAGTAGAAACAATGCTCTTGTGTATATTTCTTTTATATGTTTTCTATTTGTGATGAATTATACAAAAAATATTGTTTATTTTTCAACAATTATAAAACAAATTACAAAAAATGGTACAGATGGAAGTGCACACAAGGGGTATTAATGTGAGAGGAAACCAGAGTACCCCGTGAAAAAAAAACATGGTCGGCCAGGTGATCATGATGACACCTGGGTTTTGCATACCTTTTCACGCCGTCTAATCAGGGAATTGAACCCTGATTGTTTTGATGAATGAGGATCGTGATACCCACTGCCTCACCCGAACACTCACTGTTCTAAATTATAAAATGAAAAAAAATCATTCAAGCCTGACACACTCATTTTTCTATCCCGATGAAATTGTGTTTCATTTGAAGCCATTAACCTGAAAGACGATAAACAAACTATTTTAATAATCAATGCTACCAAAGTTCTGTAAACATAAACAAAATCAATTATACAGAAGGCAGTACAAGTACATAAAAGAAACCTATTGTGATTAACGATATTCTGTTGGTATACATATCTGAATAATATCAGCTTTGATCAAAACCCGGGGAATCATCGAAGCTCAGCCTCTTATTGGAAACTCTTGTGTAGTTATCATCTGTTGGTAAATAATTAATCTAGAAATTGATACTTTTATGTTTTATTTTTGATCCAAAATTGCAGTTGGATTCAATGTATCAAATATCCTGTGTGTAGGGCTGTAAGTTGGCCCTTGACATTTAGCAATTTCAGAAAATAAAATAAAATTCTCCTTGATTTTTTTTGAGAAGCAAATTAAAGCATATCAAATTAAAAAGTGTTTCCGATATGTCCTTTTCAAACCAAACTGAGCTCATTTTGGTCAGTCAAAAAGGTCATGTCACAGGTTTACTGAAAGCCTCATATTAGGAATCTGGTGTTAAGTCAAAATGATTAATACAGCGAGCCCCTGATGAAGATTAGTGAAGGTATAATTTGAAGCCGTGTTGAGATTTTGTATGTCATTATTTTAGGAGTAACAGTTTACTTTTACCTTGTTCACAGGAACCCCAGACAGCACCAAAAGAAAAAGGAAGGGACCATCAGGAAAAGAGTAAGTATACGTTAGGGAATTAAAGGGTATGCAGAATTGTATTCACCTTAATCTGTCTTTTCTCGTTATTGATCCCTGTAATGAGGACAATTTCATTGTGACGCCGAATATTGATACAAAGCTAAATCATACTAAGACTTTGTTCGGCAACTGGGGGAATTTTCTTAATTTGCTTAAATCAAGTGACACAGTCAAAAATTTGTAAACTTCGAAACATTATTTTTGGTCTTGGTCTAAAAGAAGAAGTGAAAAGTAAATAGTTACAAATAGATTTACCAGTCCTTGAAAAAAGTGTGTAGTGAAAACATATATTGAAGTCCACTTAAAAACAAGTTATTAAAGGATTTGTTGGGGAAAAAACCCAGTAATTAAGAGTTCTTACAAAAAAACACCACAGATCAACATTATTATGTAATCTGTTGAAGACAACACATGGAGCTGGATGAAAAAGTGCCGGTGTAAAATTACAGTTCAGACAACCAGAATAAAATGTTTGCCTGACAACGCCTGTCGATGGCAAGGTTATTTTTATGCTGGTAGTTTCGTTTTTCAAAAACATGCAGCTGTCTGTCTGACTGTTAGTCCATACATGTGTGATTAACGTATACATACCCAAAGGTATTGTAGTGCTACATTATAGCTAACAGAAAAACTATCCTTGTCTGTGGCCTGTAGAAGCATGTGGTACACATATTGTATGTAAGGCCAAGTGTTTCATGTATCTTTCAGCATCACCTATAACACTAAAGTATTGACTGTCTTATGTAAATACCGTATTTGACAGTTGGAACGAGCCCATGTTATTTAATAAGCAAGCCCCGCGTTAAATACAAGGTTTTTAAATTACATTGAAATCAAGAGTCAAACATGGAAAGAAGCGACTTAGCCATTCAGATATAAAATATTAATGGTTTTTGCTGTCATCATATATTTGGAGCTGTAATTTTGTGGTCCCAATGAGATGAAAGTTCATTTTCCCAATTTGATGAAAATAGGTTAATTATGGTACCTCCGTTTTAGCATGGACATTTACCACTATGCCCCCTTGTCGTAGCATCGGTTAATTATGACACAATGTACCACCATTTTAACATGGACATTTACCACTAGGCCCCCTTGTCTTAGCATCGGCTAATTATGACACAATGTACCACCATTTTCCCATGGACATTTACCACTAGGCCCCCTTGTCTAAGCATCGGTTAATTTCAATAATAATAGTATCACCGTTTTAGCAGGACATTTACCACTAGGCCCCCTTGTCTTAGCATCGGTTAATTATGAGACAATGTAACCATTTTAGAATGGATATTTAACAATATGCCCCCTTAACTTAACATCAGTTAATTATGAGACAATGTACCACCATTTTAGCAGGACATTTATCACTATATCCCCTTGTCTTAGCATCGGTTAATTATGAGACAATGTACCATCATTTTAGCATGGACATTTACCACTATGCCCCCTTGTTTTACATCGGTTAATTATGAGACAATGTACCACCATTTTAGCAGNCCCTACCCCCAAGGGCTGTAGGGTAGAGCCCAAAGGAGTCGGTGTGCTAAGATTTCTTCATTTTCCTTGTTTAGAATCAGAGGTGCTNGGACATTTACCACTATACCCCCTTGTCTTAGCATCGATTAATTCTAATTATGAGACAATGTACCACCATTTTAGCATGGACATTTACCACTATGCCCCCTTGTCTTAACATCGGTTAATTATGAGACAATGTACCACCATTTTAGCATGGACATTTACACCTATGCCCCCTTGTCTTAGCATCGGTTAATTATGAGACAATGTACCACCATNACTATATACAACTTTATTTCTGTCACTAAATACACTGTACACCAGGACTGTCACATTATTTCTGTCTCTATATACACCTTTTTTTAGGTCACCTGAGCTTTGCTCAAGTGACCTATTCCAATCACTTTCCGTCCGTCATGCGTCTTGTGTAAACTTTTTACATTATCAACTTCTTCTCAAGAACCAGTGGATGGAATTTTTTCAAACTTGGTCAGAATCATCCTTGGTAGCTGAGGCAACTTTATAGTAAAATTGGGATTCCTACCCCAACCCTAGGGGCCAGGGCGGGGCCCAAAAGGGAAAATTAACCAATATTTCAAAAATCTTCTTTTCCAGACTCATTTTCTCTGCATGGATGGAAAGATCATCAGGTGCTTTATTTAAATTGTAAATTTCAGGACCCCTGAGCTATCCGTTCTCTCTTGGGGCGGGGGTAAAGTTTACTATAGTTTATATAGGGAAACAATACTTTTGGGTATATTTTGACAATTTTCTGTTGGAAATTATTTTTACTTGGTGAGAATTATCCTTGGAGGAGGAAGATGGTTTTAAGTTGTAAAATTGGGATTCTTACCCCAACCTTAGGGGCAAGGGCGGGGCCCAAAAGGGAAAAATAGCCAATATTTCAAAAATCTTCTTCTCCAGACTCAGAGGTATTACAGTCATTTTCTCTGCATGGATGGAAAGATCATCAGGGGCTTTATTAAAATTGTAAATTTCAGGACCCCCGAGCTATCCGTTCTCCCTTGGGGAGGGGGTAAAGTTTACTATAGTTTATATAGGGAAACAACACTTTTGGGTATATTTTGACAATTTTCTGTTGGAAATTATTTTTACTTGGTCAGAATCATCTTTGGTGGATGACGGTATCACATTGTAAACTTGGAATTCCTGCCCCATCCCCAGGGGTTAGAGCGGGGCCCCAAAGGGAACATTTACAAATATTTTAAAATTCTTATCCTTTGATGACATGACAAGTATTGTATTTCACTTAGTTTACATGCTGATTTCCACATCACATCTAAACAATAAAATAAAGCTACCAGTACCTATGATATAACTCAGGTGACCGCTAAGGCCCTTGGGCCTCTTGTTTCTATCACTATATACAACTTTATGTCTGTCACTAAATACACTGTACTCAAACCTTTTACATACTCTTTGTTATGTCTTGATTACAACATTCTGTTAATGCATTTGTATGTTCATAAAAAGGCATGTATATCCTGCAATAAGTATTTACACATTTGTCTCTTAATGATTTTAAATGTTGCCTCTTTATAATATATCACCTGTGTTGCAAATTTTAAATATTGTGACTAAGCACGGAAAATAGCAGTGCATGAATTCTAGGTAAATCTGGTTGTATTAACTTCGTGGAATAAGACATTATGCGATGAAAGAAAAGAATAAATCTCTAAGGAAATATGAAATAATGAAACTGAAAGTTGAGTTCTGTTCACAAGTGGAATTATTCCGTTTACCCCCATTACAGGGAGAGCCACTGTGAGATTGAGCGACGCAGGAGGAACAAGATGACGACCTACATTAACGAGCTTTGCGACATGGTCCCCACCTGTAGCACGTTGGCCAGGAAGCCAGACAAACTGACTATCCTCAGAATGGCAGTGTCCCACATGAAAACGCTTCGAGGTACTAGTATAGGTAATGTGGGTTCCAGCTCAAACTGAGGTCAAAGCTGAAACGGTTTTAGAGATTGGTGGTGAAAAATATCAAAGACAGATGTCAACCAAAAAATGTTACGCTGTGAAAACTTGTATGTTGAGACACTTCAGTGTTTTTTCCATAGAAGAGTACGAAAACATTTTCCAGGTTAACGAAGCTACATGAAAAACCTGGGTAGCTATGAACTAATTATAGCCCTATTTTAAAATACAATAAAACCTCGATATAATGTCCCTCGTTTCATTTGTCACCTCACTTATTGCCAACATATTTCAAGGTCCCTTTTTCTTGTTTTCTTAAGAGTTTTCCTCAATTTATATCGCCAAATTTCTTTATAACACCAAAATCGCTCTAGGCAAATGGTGACATTATAACATAGTTTTACTGTACATATTAACGAGTAATATTTTCTTTTTAGGTAATTTATGTACCTTGTCATTGTGAATGTTTTCTTCTTCTGTTTTTTTGTCTGAAGACACTTGATGAATAAAAAACATTTCACGCTTAGAAATTAAAAAAATGTGTACAGGTTTTGAAATTGCATTTGTTGAGCTGTGTCAAATTTTACCTTAAATTCTGAATTGAGTGTAAAAGTTGTTAGATTAAATGTGCAACATACTATTGGAGATTATATTTTCACACCAACTTTTATGTATTATTTAAGGTAATATGAACTAGATAGATCACAAGTTTAGATCACAAAACATAGTTTGCTTATTCTTAGAGCATCCATGTAGAGTTCTGATGAGGGTCCCATGTTGAAATTATGTTTTAGCATTTTACAATTCCGACAACTTATTGTTCTTAAATACAAGATGTTAAATGAGTGTTTGCTTGATCTTTTCAGGAACAGGCAACACCAATTCTGACGGTTCCTACAAACCGTCCTTCCTCACCGACCAGGAACTCAAACACCTTATATTAGAGGTAAGTCCATATGTAGATCAAGTTAACAAATTCACCCCTGAAATTTCATAATGAACTATTCCAACCCTTGCTTTGGAACAGTTCAAATGTGTCTTCAGGGGTGAATAAGTAAAAATATTGTAAAAGTGGAAATTTTTAGTGGTGAAAAATGTATCCGCTGTTTGTGGTGAGTAAATTCACATGAAAATATCGACACACAAATATTTATTCACAGAGATAAAAAAATATAGTTAAATTTAATTTATAGATTTTAGAAGTATTGCCAATGCGAAAATTTCAATGACGAGATCAGTCTAAAGGGTCACAATGTGACCATTTTCACACGCGAACATTTCCACTATTACGGTTTTGATTTTTATTTGCGAAAAAATAAGGTATGTGAGTATTACTGAATCTACTTGTATCAAGCTTAAGCATGATATTGTAAGTTAAGATCAGTTTACAATCTTTCCATAAAACTTTGTCAACAGTTTGTTGCGCACTGATAAGTACATGATAGAGGTGCTTATATACCGACAGACACCGGATTGTCAAGTCTGTCAGCAGACAAATTTGGCCGTAAAAATTTCGTTAATGACATCGTGTTGATCAGCTGGTGTCCTGATGTACGAAATCAAATTAATTGATAGCTTGTTGATGGTTCTTTACTTGCAGTCGTAGTTTTCATCTCTAATCTTTCTAACAGGAACTGAAAAAAATACATACATTTTTTGGGTGTCGTTATTGTCACCTTCATATGATCACGAAAAACTCAAATGTCGACATAATTTGTAAGAAAATGAAGAAACTAACGATTTTGTATGCTCTGTTTTGCAGGCAGCAGATGGTTTCCTGTTTGTGGTCCAATGTGACACGGGGCGGATAATCTACGTGTCCGACTCCATCACGCCTGTACTGCATCAGTCACAGGTACAGTATAGATGTGTCAAAATTGTTTATCTCCCTCATAGACAGCAAAGCATTGCCTATGTGACGGTGTTGTGAGAGTGTTGTTCATTTAAAATTCAAAAGATTTTCCAATGTAAGACCATTCCACTATATTCATCCCTTCATAAAATCTTTCATACAATTTTTGTACGATACATGATAGACGCAGGCTTTTAGCGGCTGTATCTGTACCATACAAAATTATTATATAATAAAAAGAGATTAATTATACCAACTTCTGGTGTTTTAAAAATGTCACAATTCATTCTATTTTCACTATTATCGTCTCGTTTCCAATGATTGTCTAACAAGATTTCAAATTGTTTGACATCGGCTGCATCAGTGACATGTTGTGGTAAGCTGTTCCATTTGTCTGATAACATGGAAACTGAAAAAGTTCCTTCTACTCTCTAGACGATAGCGTTTCTTGAATATATTTTGTGAGTGTCCCGTCGTTCTGCTGTTTGTTACCCATCTGGAACATGTTCAAAGTGACTATTCCATCAAAAATGCTGTTCAGAATTTTGAATACATCGATGAGGTCCCCTCTAGTCCTTTGTTGTTTTGGGGTCAAAAGGTTTCATCTTATAGCTATGATCATGATTAACATACTCAACCAGTCATAGGGTAAAGACAGCTGTGACTGTGTACAATTCTAATAATCCGATAAAAAAAATAGACAGGGGTTGTATAAATTTTCAAATTCGGATTGGAGTATTATGGAATTTTACACACCTTAAAGCTTATTAATCTGAACAGAAAGTTGAATTTATTCAAACTGTATTTAAGGTAAACAAAATCAGACCTCCAAAGAAACGCTTTGGGCGAAATTCAAACTTACCTGTCAAGACAATTTATAGGCAAGGTATTGACAGATTATTCGAATAGGAGAAATCTGAAAATGCCAAAAAATTAGCCTTATGGGAACCTGTCCTTTACAAGTATGTGTGCTTGTTATATAACTTCCCTTTGTCCCTTTGTTTAATGATAACATTCTAACTTACCGTAAGAATAATTGACTACATAAGCTGGGGACATGAGCCCAATATCCTCCCAATATCCCCCCTATATACCCCCTGTATCATAATTCTTTGATATTGAATGCTCATAAACCACAGAACATGCATTCATCTGCAAAGACAACCATTCATTGAAAATTCTTCTCGTTGTAAAACAACTATTTTGTGTAACAGACGGAATGGTTTGGTAACACCTTATATGAACTGGTCCATCCCGACGACCAGGAGAAAGTACGGGAACAACTGTCCACAACAGAATCTCAAAACACTGGTCGCATCCTCGACCTGAAAAGTAAGTGTAAATACATCATATCAGTGGTCTATCCCAGTTTGATTTGCACAGTTCATACATTTACTATGCTGGTTTAGGGTGGTCAGGTGGTGCAGTGGATAGCACACTTGCCTTTCACCAAGGCGGCCAGGGTTTGATTCCCCGATCAGACGTGAAAAGGTATGGGGTCACCTTGGGTTTGAATGACCTTATTATCCATACCTCACATCAGGGATGGATTCTATTACATGTAATCTGTTCAGCAGTTCAGCAACTACAGTCCAGACTTCCCATACAACCATCTGTCCTATGGGTTTTCCGGTTAACTGTTTAAGTCTGATAAGTATATTTTATGAATTTATATGCAGTAATCTATCAATATTATGTGAATTATTCTGAAGATAAAGAAATGGGCTTCTACTTATAAATACTTTGGTAATACAGATAAATCTAAGATCCCTGTGTCACTGTATGTATTGTTGATCTTCCAGCTGGAACAGTCAAGAAAGACAGCCACCAGAGTAAGTATATACACAATGTTGCAAAAACAAAAAAGGTTAAGCTGTGTTGAATTCATATTTTCGAAATTGTTAGGTCTGTTGTGTTATATGTAAGGGACGGCGGTGGCCAAGTGGTTAAGGCGTCTGACATTCTGCTCCAACACTGGGTCACGGGTTCGAGACCTATGTGGAGTAGTCAACAGGTACTGGCTGTAGGTCAGTGTTTTTTCTCCGGGAACTCCGGCTTTCCTCCACCAACAAAACCTGGCATGTCCTTAAATGACCATAGCTGTTGATAGGACGTAAAACACAAACAAAACCAAAGTTATATGTAGAAATATTAATTATCATGATGAGCTTATGAAAATAACAGTCGGTATATAAGAAAGCGTAAAAGGGAAGCTAACATAGATGTAATAGTCTATATATATTTCCAGTAGGCAAACATTGTTTTTACTGACTTTACTGAATATACGATAAAGGTTAAAATTTTGGTGTGCAGAAATGTTGGCGTATGACTCGTCTGGGTGTGGACATTTTGGCGTTGGCAATGGTGTTGATATCTATATATTCTATATATCTTTAATCTATATAATCTATAAATAAACTTTTTTTTTTAGAAAAACCCAAGCCTTTTCCATGTAACAAAAAATTCTACTTTTACAGTATCATTGCCACTGATGGCACATAAAATGATGTCGCGTTCGAGCATTGTATCAAACTGAAAATTATTTTAGCCAATATAACAAAACTCTTTACTTAATGCTCATGTTAAAACTCGGTGTTTTTGTGACCTTAATTTTATAGCAGCCTGTTCTTTTATGAATCGGGGAAATATAGCATTATTTGTATTGAACTGATTCCTCAGTTTTTGTCATTTTGGGAAAATAAGGCCCTATTTAGCTAGGGGAAGCAGCCTGTTTTCGGCAGTAAAACTTAGCAAGAAAAATCACTGAAACCTGATACTTTACTGGTAAAAATTTAATGAATAGGGCTTTTAAGATGTAAAGTGAAAAAGTTGGAATGGGATACAGAATATCCAACATTGAAACAGAAAAAAGTTTTGCGTCTTTCTGACCGTCAAATTTTCGTTGCAGCCTCCATTCGGTTATGTATGGGATCCCGGCGAGGTTTTATATGTCGTATGACGATGGGTAATGTACAGGTAGATCCAATGACAGCTAACCATTCCATACGTATCAGACAGAGGAACACGCTGGGCCCTTCAATCGATGGGAACCACTACACTGTCGTACACGTCACAGGCTACATCAAAAACTGGCCGCCATCAGGTAAATAAAACGTTGGATGAATGGAAAGAAAATGAAACATACAGAAAAAAAATCCAAAAAGATAGAAAAGAAAAAAATACAGAAAGTAAAACAGAAAGAGTTAAAAGAGAGAAAAACATGATATGGTTAACCGTTAAGTTGTAACTAGCTTTGAATACGTCACTATAAATCTTGTTTCAGCCTGAATTTAAGCAATTGGTTTCACATAGAATTAATCATTTGTCCAAACCCGATGTTTGACACATCTGAGTCAAGTTGCTGTAGTTGATATTGGGTAAATAACAGGGACAGGAACTTGGATAACCTGTTGGAATGAGGAGGGGTATTTGACAAATCTGGGTTCAACTTAGGCAGGGTTTACTGTACAGAACCTTTTCCTGCCAGTATCTATGAATGCAAAGAAGGCAATGTTTATTATAGAGCTGGAAATCTCATGGGATGATTTGATACCTTGTTACACAGATTTGGCTTATTATCATAAACAAGAAATTATACCGTAAATTGTGTACTTTATTTTGAAAAGTTTGCCAAAAGTTTCATCTGTGAATATTTGAATTAGCATTTTAGATGATGCTATTTAATCATTCATAATAATTACCTAGGAAAGTAGAATTGCAAAAGATTTACCATTGCATTGAATCTCGAAAATTGATTTCCTTTAAGAAAATAAACCTATTAACAGTAATTAAGGTATTAACCCTTTCACCACTGTAAACCATAATGAACTCATCCATATCAATGCATGGTAGAGTCTACTAAAGTATTTATAGGGGGCAAATGGTTAATACAATGTAATAGCATTCATGTTGTTCTGAATACACAATGCCTAATTTAGTAATGAAACTACTACATTAATTGGATATGTGAATGTTTAGGTGTCCAGATTGACCGTGACACGGACGAGAACGGAGGCGGTCACTGTTGCCTGGTAGCCATTGGCCGTCTCCAGGTGACCAGTACACCCAACTGCAATGACCTAATGGGACCAAACGCAGCTACAGAGTTTATATCACGTCACAGTATCGAGGGGAAGTTCACGTTTGTCGATCAGAGGTAGGTCTGGAAGTAGACATGTGTCAATTAACTTATTCACCCCTGAAGATGCATTTGAACTCCTCCAATTCAAAGGGTGGAGTAGTTCATTATGAAATTTCAGGGATGAATGAGTTAAATAAAAATGTATCTGTTCAAACCATGTGATCTTGATTATTTTGTAGCTGAGCATGGAAAATTTGAATCTCCTGTGTGATTTTATGTTTTTTAATACATATGGATATATTAGTATCATTCTGAACTGATTAAGTGTTAATCTCGAAGTATAAAAGGACTTCTCCAACCTTTTTTAACCAGTCAACTTACAGTGAAATTTTCTAGAAGTAACGATAGGGGGGTTATACTTTACATCAAATGGCCAATTTTTGGGATTCAAAATGGCCACTATGGCCTCTGAATGGCTGAGATAATAAAAGTTGTAACTTGAATTCTATGGGACTAACTGTGTTGATACTCATTGGCATGGTACATAGAAGGTATACTTTATATTGAAATGCGACCTTTTAAATTTTGAGATTCAAGATGGTCACTGTGGTCTCTGATTCACTGAGGCATTAAAAACAGTTGGGATATAAGTATGCCAATGGCTTACAGTTTTAACCGTATTTCTTGTATATAGACATTTCATTAGGATCCCTATGCATGTATGCTAAATTATAAATTTCATTATTTTAAAAATATACACTGTACAAGTATTGCGTTAAGATGTCGTTAAGCTATATAAATAAGAATTTGAATGTCTGGGCTGTGAATATAATATAATGTTTTCTGTGTTATAATTCCAGGGTTGAATTATTTGTATTCTGATTTTTACACCAAACCAAGATAGTACACGGTTTGTTTCTGTGTTTACAGAGTGACAGCTGTACTAGGTTATCAGCCACAGGACCTCCTCGGTAAATCGGCTTTTGATTTTTACCACCCTGAGGACAAAGGTCATATGAAGGACACATTTGAACAAGGTAATAATATTGCTAACACACAATGACTTAGTAAAACAGAAAGTTTTCTCTTCTGTTAAATGTTTGTCCGTGAACAAGACAAATTGGAAACGAAAGAATATCACCCTCATTTTAACACAAGATTGATTTATTTTTTTCAATCTCTCTGATGCCTTCAAAAGTGAAATCTTACTATGTAAATGCAGATTCAACATAGTGCAAATGTATTTAAATATAATTAAGTAAAAGAGCAAAACATTTCTATACCAACAAAAATAAATATCTTGGCCCACTATACAAATTTGGCTATTTCTTTAGACCCCAACTGCCCATATATTTTCAGTTATAAGTGTAAATCTGCAAACCCATCTATTCAGATATAAACAAGAATTCAAATGGTTAAGGTTTAATTCCTGCATGGTAAACATTCTGACCAATCCTGAGTTTAATTTGGATACGATTATTTTTGTTTTTTTCAGTCCTAAAGTTGAAGGGACAGGTCATGTCCATCATGTACAGATTCAGGGCCTCCAATCACGACTGGGTGTGGCTACGGACTAGCAGCTTCAGCTTCCAGAACCCGTACACAGACGAGGTGGAATATATTGTTTGTACAAACACGTGCGCCAAGTAAGTATGATCAGAGCAAACTTGAGGTCTGCACAAGTCTGAGGAAGTTTGAAGAAAGGCAAGCTGAAATTTTCAACAGAGCTGCATATCAAAAAAGTTGCTTTATGTTTAAAGGTAGATTTATGGAACAAAATTTGGTTTTAAGCAGACCTGGAGCCTTTTCAAAAATATGAGTATGAACCTTTTTCCAAAAAAGTTCTTAACTCTTTCACCACTGTTGACCCTAATAGACCTCGCCCCAATCAAAGTATGGTAGAGTCTAATAAAGTCACATAGGGGTGAAAGGGTTAAGTTAGTATGGATTGTATAAAGGTTCATCTGGCACAACCAGTGAAGTCTTATTTTGTGACATTTTTAGTGACCAGTACGATTTGTACTTTCATCAGACACCCATTTGTCTGACTAAGGTGACTTAGTATGTACTGTCCTTGTCATCAAACCTCACATATAAACACTTCACTGGTTGAACAAGAATAGCACGGCGATGTGGTACATTATTCATATATAAAAAGCAGAGTAGCAAAAAAGATGTAGGTAAACCAACTCAACTCGAGACCAGGAGACGCCATCATCCTGTGGGTGGAAGAAGGTCAGTGTTCTGATGAATGAGCAGTGCTGATTGAATGAGAACCGACCAGTCTGATTCATTCAGCATAACCATCCAAAAAACATGTAGACCAATAGAGTCTATATTTACAGAATCCTAGGTGTTGATGCTGCATCACTTATCTGCTTGAATATAACAGTAGTGAGGAGTAATCAGATCTATTTAGAGGGATTGAAAAGAAAATACCATGAAAGAAATCAAGCTACATGTCACAAATTTTATGATTGTCATTTTGCACTGCTCCGTCAACAGAAGTGTCCAGCAAGGAGCTCCCAGTACTGGCTCTGCCCCTAGCCTGACCACGCCTCAGGAACAAGTGGCCGATACCAGCCAGCCAATCACGTACAACACCCCACCCCGTCCACTGGCCACTGACACTATCAACAACATGTCCACCAAGCAGCCGGAATACGAATCCTATAACTACAACACAGTCATGGGAGGTAGGTATATAACTACAACACAGTCATGGGAGAAAGGTATATAACTACAACACAGTCATGGGAGATAGGTATATAACTACAACACAGTCAGGGGAGGTAGGTATATAACTGCAACACAGTCATGGGAGGGAGGAATATAACTACAACACAGTCAGGGGAGGTAGGTATATAACTAAAACACAGTCATGGGAGGTAGATATATAACTACAACACAGTCATGGAAGGTAGGTATATAACTACAGCACAGTCATGGGAGGTAGGGATATAACTACAACACAGTCATGGGGGGTAGGTATATAGCTACAACACAGTCATGGGAGCTAGGTATATAACTACAACACAGTCAGGGGAGGTAGGTATATAACTAAAACACAGTCATGGGAGGTAGATATATAACTACAACACAGTCAGGGGAGGTAGGTATATAACTAAAACACAGTCATGGGAGGTAGATATATAACTACAACACAGTCATGTGAGGTAGGTATATAACTACATCACAGTCATGGGAGGTAGGGATATAACTACAACACAGTCAGGGGAGGTAGGTATATAACTGCAACACAGTCATGGGAGGTAGGAATATAACTACAACACAGTCAGGGGAGGTAGGTATATAACTGCAACACAGTCATGGGAGGGAAGTATATAACTACAACACAGTCAGGGGAGGTAGGTATATAACTACAAAACAGTCATGGGAGTTAGGTATATAACTACAACACAGTCATGGGAGGTAGGTATATAACTACAACACAGTCATGGGAGGTAGGTACAAGGTACAGTCCTATTAATGTCATATATCAGTTGTCAGAGGAAGATGTGATATTAAACAGACATTAAGAGGAATCCACTGTAAAACATAAGTGTATCGAGTTTTGAACATAAACAGCTCTCTGTTAGAAATCTATTGACATGTACGATAAATGTTATCAGATAACATATATCTACATTCAGTAGAGTATTGTGTCACAAGATTCCATTTGCTGAGTTTAAATGTGAAGAATCCTAAGGAAACACATTTCAGCTATGTCTTTTAAGATACTAGCTACCTTACTGTAACTTGCACCTCCAATCTAATCCAAGCTAGCGAACTCATCATATGTGAACTTTGATTTAACTGATGACTCATTTGAATGGGACACAGAGTTTAAAACAGCTGGTAGCACAATTGAAAGGACACAAGAATTGATGACACATGTGAAAGGTACGCAAGAAATGATGACATATTTGAAGGGTACACAAAAATTGACACATTTGAAAGGTATACTAGAATTGATGACACATTTGAATTTTACGCAGGAATTGATGCCACAATTAAGTGTGAGATTATTACTTAATTCTTTTTAAATCAGAGGTTTAATTGAATCTGATCTGTGTTTGCAGCTGGCAGTCGACAGGTGGGTAGACAGGATATTTATTCCACCTACAACTCGCCTAACCAGCAGATGAAGCAGTACCCCTCCCAGAGTGTGGCTGCAAGTATGCCCATGTCCCAGCAGACCCAGGGGTCAGGGGTCAGACGAAGTCCCAACCCCTCAGGAAGCTGGCCAGCCCAAGGGGGATTCACTCAAACACAGGTCAGTATATCTCAATATTTGGACATACCTCCAGTCAGACCGGGAGCTAGGTTTCGACGCCCAATCAGACCGGGAGCTAGGTTTCGACGCCCAAGTCACTGAGATTTGCATATTTGATAAATAAATAACTTGTTTAGTTTGAAGAAATGGATCCAGAGAGCTAGGCAATTGCCTCTTTTCTGTTTGATGCTGGAAACCCCCAAAAACTTTGAACAATATAAAATGATGAAGGATGACCGCAGCAGATTCTAATTGGCTCACATGGAAGAGCTTTGATTCTGTTTGTGGATATATTTATCTCATTACTGTAAGAAAAGTTCAGTTTTTAATCCAACAAAGCATTTCAAGGTAGCCTTGTGTCCTCTGTCAATATATCTTTTACTTGGGTCGATAAATCCAGGTATCGACCTCAGCGGAAGGCTATAATTGAATAATATAAACAAAATGAAATATATAAGCCGTCGATTCAGGAAACCTGCAGTGTTTCCACATTTTTGATTTGAAGCTTGCCGGAGCATCACAAATTTTCATTTCCTTACAGCGGTCCACCATTTTGTTATGAATTCTTTGTGAAAATTGCATCCTCGCAGCCGATTGGTTTAGGGTTTAGAGATAAGCCAATGAACTTTGAACGTCTCGCTGACGTTTCGGCTGAAGCGGCATACACTAATATTCAGACCGTGACGTATCGAAAATCCGGAAAATATATCGTGAATCGAATCAAACATAAATAATCGCGGTACAAGTGCATCGCGGTGAATCGTGACACCTCTACCTTAGACTAATATTAAATTGTTAATAAATGATCACTGATGTTGAGATATTTAATTTAAATAAATGATGATATCTGATGTTTTGTTACAGGCTGGAACTGACTTTGGAGGCAATCCAGCGGCGGGCTACTCACAGATCAGCCCCAGCAGCTCTTCTCCAGGTTAGTACTGCAGGGTAGGAGATTCTGCCAGATAGACCGAGTAGATCACCCTGAGAGAAGGCGATAAACTGTCCATGAAACATATTTAATTGTCTCCCCTTTGTTATTAGTAAAAAACGCATAAGCTACGGAGTTGAATACAAGACAGTTGTATTATTTGATCAGTATGATTTTCATCCTTTATTAGTATGATGTAAAAGTTTGTTGCAGAGAGTACACATTTAGAGAATTATTTGTATCAAATATCAAGTTAGTTAACTGGCTGACAAACTGACTAGCAGTCAGGAAGGGTAATTAATGCCTAGATAGTAAATGAAAAATGATTTCAGACAAGGCAGAAAACTTTGGGTGAGATTGTACATCAAGACTACTTATGTAGCCATACTTTGGACACGACAAATATTAGAACAATACATGAACAACTTAAATTATTAAAGGTGATGTGTACCAGCTAAGCTTGAGAGTTTGTATCAACAAAATACATGTAGTCTCAAAGCACTAAACTGTAAAAGTAAATCACCACTGACATTTCCAGTTACTCTCATGGTAACTATTATTGTTTTGACAGCGGGTGGACCTACCTACACACAGCTGGGCGGAGGATCACAGGGAGGTGTCCCTAACTCACAACCCAACAGCTTCACGCACTCCTCCCCAGCCGGGGCTGCGGGAACTGGCATGTGGCCTCCGTCACATTGGCAGGCTGGGGCAGGGGATGCCACTCAGACCCAGCCCCAGACGGGACCACAGGGGCCAACCCCGGGGCAAGGGCAGGCCCCACCCAATCAAACTCAGTCTACCAACCCACAGCAGCAACAGCCCCCTCAGAATGAAGAATTCAGTGACATGTTCCGTATGCTAGATCAGCAGGGAGGACCAGAATTTAGTGATTTGTCCGGCATGTTCAACACGTTTACAGACTGATCTTTGTTCATCTTTCCATGATTGTAAAAAAAAAAAATATTGCCGAGATTTTTTTGTGTTCCTCCATTGTATCGGTACTAGCTGTCATTGTATCGGTACTAGCTGTATGCTGGTGCGATATTTTGACATCCCTTCACTGTTTGGTACGAGATGTTATGGGATGTCTTTAACTTCATCTACACATTATGTAGTGTATATCATAGGAATTTTAATCCCTCACATTTTATCGATACAAGTTGTATTTTTGTATAATAATGAGATCTTCTAAAGTCATTCTTATTCAATTGTATGATTTGTATTACTGGAATGTGAATTGATATTTCTAAACTTGATATGTTTTATCACAAGTAATTAGAACTCTACAGTGTTGTTTTAAGGCATTCAAAAATCCTTCTGTTAGGATAATCTAATGTCCTTCCATTTATCAGTAAAAGTGATAAAATTGTACCCGGTATATGGAATTGATCTGACAGACACTTTGAAAGAATGGAAATATATCTCTTCCATTTGTCAGTAAGTCTCGTTAAACGTGCACAATTTTCACCTTTTATATAGTTAATGTTGTACTGGAGTTGTAACAGGGGATTTGTGGGATGGGGAAAAAGGGGGCAGGGAATTGTGTATTAGTCTTGTGCAATCTATTTGTTTCATCTCCTCCTCAAGACTAGCACCTTGAATTAATATTGTGTTAATTTACTATTGTTCATATTAATCATAAATATTTTCCCCTAAGTTCAAAAGGATTTAGGATTTTTTTGTTTATTTTTACACATGTATATTCATACATTGTATACAAGCTGATTTGTTGATATTATGTTTATAAAATTTATTGCTGTGTTGGAATAGATTTCTTCAAAAAAAGAAGAAAAAAACTTGAATTCAATGTCAACTTCAGAAGTACGTCCAATATATTTCACATGTTCTGCCAAAATACAGTTGATTTTGATATACCATATCAATGATTGTGAGAAAGGTTTTACAAAGTTAAGGGCGCATGCTACCTTACAATCTTTGCATTAGAGTTATCTCTCTTTAAAACAATATGATTAATATAGTTTTAAGCATTATCTACAATAGATCTGAGTTACCTTACCGGTAATGTTATCAATGTAAGAATCTGTGTACGGTTTAGAGATGTTATCAGCTAATAAAAACACTACAACAATCTCCATCCTTCCATCCAGAGTTATTGTTCCTGTGAATGGCTACAGCCAAGATTTTTGGGACAACTGAAATTTTCACATATTTCAGTCATTTGTTTTCTCCATTAGTAGTCCCATTATGGTCACAATTTTGAATTTTGTCCCTTTGTGTAAATGTTGCAAAATTATGGGATTTTTTCTTAATTTTTTAATAATAAAGTATGCTTTTAAAATCAACATATAAGTCACAATTCATGTTTCATATTTAAATTAAGACTATCTTTGGAGGAAAAATGACTAAAAAATGTCAAATTTCAGTGACGCCCCAAATCTCTGTATTTTGGTTGTTAAGTAACAACAACTCTGGGCTTGGAAGAGGTTGTGCACCATTGGTCATGAAATATGAATTGTTCGTTTTTTGTGTGGAGCTCTGTCGGGGGAAAAAAGGTGTATTTAAAAGTAAGGTAGCATTAAATCCTTACGATAATTTGAAGATTTTTACAACAAAGTTGTAAACTGTTATGGTACTCAAATTAAATAGACCTAAATTTGAATCAAATGTCATATTAAGTATAGTTGATTACCATCTTTTCGTATTGCAGAGTTATCTGCTCTTGTGAGCAGGTATTGATTGTTACGTCATATGTTTGTGAGAGAAACGTCATCATTTTTTTTTTTTAAAAACGTCGTAAATTTCTCACACAAACTAATGACGTAACAATCAATACCTGCTCACAAGAGAAGATAACTCTGCAATATACAAAGACGGAATAGCCTGTGAAGTATAATTTCACTGAGGCAGATGACTTGGACTTTGAGCTTTGTTCCATCACTGTATGTTTTGTAAAACAAACGTATGATGAAAAAACTTGTGGATATTAATAAAAAGTGTGAAATGTGACAAGAACTTGTCATTTACTGTTCTGTGCAAAAAATATGTTGAAATTGTATATGCTCTTTATGTAAATGTTATAGTATCGTAATACATTAGATGTTATCAAATACAGATTTTTTTTAAATTATCTAACTTATCATCACAAAGTGTATGTAAACATTTTTCACTTAATGTATGAATGGGTTTTTTATTGAGAGAACATATATTGATTTTCTGTGAAAATTCCATCTCTTGATTAATGCCTTGTTTGGGCCTTAGATAGTACATGTATATGTTGAGGATAAACAGTGGTTTTTGCCAGATATTTGCTTTTCTCTATGCCCGTAAATTGAGAAGGAAAATGAGGTATTGGTCACAATTCTTCACTTTTAATTAACATGCAGATGTTGGGGTGTTTTTTTTAATGAAGGGTTTCACAGTTAATGATATATTGTGCATCAATCACGGCATAATTTCAGTAGCATTTCAGAAAATTTGATTACAATAGCAATAATTTTTACAGTGCAATAGAGGCATTTCAATGTAGAGGAAATGCTAATGAAATTGATTTCTGATTTAATCACACGTAGAAAATATATTAAACTGAAAAAATTCTGATTTGAAAACAATATATGTGATTTTTTTTATTGCTGTAGAGAAATTGTGCCATAATATATTGAAAATTATAGTTAGTAAAAAAAGAAATTTTCAAATGTCGACTCATTTTGAATCATGACTTATGATTTTTTCCTTTTTTTTCAGCTCTGATTTTTGTGAATTTTCGCAATGGTTTTGTATTTGTTTTTTAGCTATTCCAGATTTGCATGAAATATAAAGATCGACACATGTAAAAGATAATATTTTAGGGAAAAAGATAAAATAAGTTAACATGTTAAAAAAGTTTTAAGATTCACGAAATGTATCTAAAACTATGATGATCATGTTCAAAATAGAAATCTGCAAAATTTTGTAGTGGCTAAAATTAGCAAGAACACCATTTTAACTCGTCCACCCCCGAAATTTCTTAATGGACTATTCCAGCTTCTGAATTGGAAGAGTTCAAATGTGTCTTCAGGGGTGAATGAGTTAAAGAATAAGATTTTGTTTTCTGAAGTTATAAGTTACGTTTAATGTTTGGTGCTTGATAGAAATTACTGTAGTGCTTGTACAAAGTCTTTGATTTTAACTGTTGTACTTTTTTATCATGATTATTTTTCCCAGTAGATGGTGTTAGAAATAGAGACACAGTGATTTTATGTATCCAGACTGTTGTCACAAGTTTGTTACATACATTGTTTATTGTACAATTTTAGATTTGTGATATATGTGACTTTATTAGAGATGACAAGTTGTTGGCAACTTGATCTATATCCATTTTATACAGAATTTTATGCATTTTTTGTCCATTCACAAGATTACATTTATAACCCTTTCAACACTGTAGACCATAGTGGACTCATCCAGATCAATTTATGGTAGAGTTTATCAAAGTTACATAGGAGTGAAAGGGTTTTATAGTTAAAGACACTGCTATCCTTCTGAGGATGTCAATTTCACTTAAGTATTGATGATTTGATGTAGATTTCGTGATTGCTGCAGTACTGATGATTTGATGTAGATTTCGTGATTGCTGCAGTAGTGATGATTTGATGTACAATGTAGATTTCGTGATTGCTGCAGTAGTGATGATTTGATGTAGATTTCGTGATTGCTGGTTTCAGATTACGTAATAGTTTCTAATTTTAGGTAATTAAACCCACATTTTCTATACTCATTCATTGAAGATGTAAATTATTTCAGTAGGCAGTTTGGATGTGAATGAAATTCCTAAGATTTGATGAATATAGAATGTGATACGTTTAAACATTTATTTTTTTATCATACATATAACAGGTTCATATCCAATTAAGGTAGGGAAATGAGATAAATCTTTCACATTCCCCTGGTAGGGAAATACCAACCACACTCATTTATTCTGAAAACTTTATGACAGGATCATAATAATGTAGTGTAAATGTATCAGAATAGGATTGTGTTATCAGTTTTGGCACAAATTTAAAAACGGAAGCCCTTCTGTGATGTGGCGGCTTCCTTTAACAAGGAATTATAAGAAAGATTGAAGTTTTAGATAAAAACCTGTGACGTGGACAAAAAGAAACTCAATCTTTAGGATACGATATTACCTGAGTTTGTGTGAAGATACAGTAGTGAAATATTACCCAATATTGAGATTCTCTTGTCCACAGTCATTATAGTCTATTGATCTTTGGACATTTTTCTCCATTATTATTCAGATACTCCAGAATTGATTAGTCCCCGCCCCTTACTACTACTAAGGTTACAATAGGTTTGCACTTCGTCCGTCTGTCAGTTAGTCTATCACGTTTTTCGTGGCATTTGTCATACACTGTATCACCTACATTTGCCAAATTTTGATTTTGAATACATACCTCTTTAATGGCGAAGTGTTGCAAGGTATCATGCCCAACTACTAACAGAGTTAATGCCCTTTGTACCTCGCATTGTCTGGGGTATACTAATATACTCCTCTCACATTCACTTGCCGAATTTTGCATGCGAGTACCTCTTAGGGTAGCAGAAATTTGCATACTGAAATCAAGTCCCATGCCGCAATAATAATTATATACAATTATGGCCCTTTATATAGTTTTTGTACCAAAGTTTGACCGGAAATAGGGGATTATGGATTGTTCGCAATACTTCTCCTCGTTCTTTGAATAGCAATTGCGGAAAAAAAAGTCTTTCACATATAATACGTGATTCACAGTAAAGACTTGGTTAAGATTATGTGGACTTCATTGTAATTATAATATTGGGTTATTTGATTGAAAACCTTTTATCTCCCAAGTTTTGTTTACAGTCTCAGCAACTTTTGACATGCTGAAGCGGTGTGTGCTGTCATGAAATAATTTAATATCTCCATAAGCAGGCAAATGACACGACTCGTGGAACAAATCAGATCTGAAGAAAACTGAGTAGACTAAGTTTACAAAGCAAAGTTGAAAACGAAAGTAAACGATGCATATTTTTTCTATTCATGAAGTATCAGAAATACGCAAACTAGGAAACAGTCATAAAGAAGAAAAACAAATTTTAGAAATATGAGATCAGAATTTGCAAAGGTAATTTTTTTGACGGGTGGGGCTGTGGTTTTCAAAGGCAGCATTTAGAAAGAAGTCAATCTGGACAACCACGTTCATTAAAACAGAAAAAATCCTTAAATGTAAAAGAGAAAAAAGGAGCAAGTATTAATCTTTTAAGAAATGTGAAACACATTTTACATTACACATTTTGTATATACACATTCATTTTTTTTCTACTTCATATTTAACTTAAATGAAAAATAATATTTTGTTGACTCATTCATCCCTAAAGACGAATTTGAACTCTTCCAATTCAAAGGTTGGAATAGTCCATTATGAAATATCAGGGATGAATGAGTTAAAATACTGTTCATTACTTAACAGCCAGATAGCTTAAGCTGATGATTGCCATCAGTTATTGGAATCATACACGTGGGACCTACTTTACTCAACATTTTAAAATCTGGAAATCCAGACATCTGAACTTTGACAGTCCGGAAGTGTACAAACCCTTGTACTTTGAATGTGATTTCCATCTTAACGACTGAAAACAAAATGTTTTTCTGACATTTTTCAGAGAGTAAGACATCTGGGCAAACAGGGTTTATTTTATGTAGATTATGTCACCGCATTTTGTATACCGAATTTATCATTCTTCGTTTTTTGTAGAGAATTTTTATCGTGATCATTTTACTGTGAATATTTGTATAAACAGATTGATTCTGTTGTCATATGGAGTACTGTAATTCTGTATAATTGAAATTTTGCTATTAAATATCATAACAATGAAATAATGGTTTTGTTTATATTCTGTTAAATGAGAACGACTTCCTTGTAGAGGGAAGGAAACAACTTAAGGATTCCGGTGCCATGGCCAAACCCTGTCACTATGGATTGCTAACTTGTTTTCGGCATGACTATAGCTTTGATAAATCACGTCTGTAAAGAAAACCAAATTTTATGGAACTAATTACATGAAAAAAGAATAGGATAAATAAACCAAAAGTTCCTACAATCTCAGAAAGCAACAGGGTCAGTCCAGGGCCTGTACTCATGATACCATTCTCATCCTCAAGCATAGATTGTATACTCAACCCAACTTTCTTGTAAATCGCTTTAATTAAACAACGATCGAAAAGTCATTGAAAACGGTATTAGGATTTAAGTCTATCCAAAATTCATCGATATCTTTGACAAAATGTTATTTTATTTATTAGCTCACCTGCCAAACGTTTGTCGTCCGTCTGTCTGTCACATTTCAGTTTACGTGCAATAACTACGCTATTAATGGTCTGATTTCAACAAAATATGGAGTGCACATACATATTAGCATGTTTAAGATTAAGTATTTACACAAAATTAATTACACTTATACGTTCTGATTGGCTGTTAGGTTTCTGTGCAATAAGTGCTCTAATAATGGTACACTTACAACAAAATTTGATATAGACATACATATTAACAGTGTGGCAGGGTTCAATTGTACATCGGATTAAGGTCGCCTTCTAGCTTCAAGCTAGGGGGAATTTCCCTTTAGCTCAGTGGTAGAGCGTCCGACCAGGAACCTGGAGATCGAGGGTTCCATCCCCGGTGGAAGCACACTATTCTCTTTCCTGTTACAAATGGTGTCCATGGCCCTCTCTGTAGCGACAGGGAGTTAGAACCTGGGTTGTGGTGTTCGAGGTCGAACACATTTAAAAAGGGGGAGTAGTGTGGCAGGTTTTAATTGTACATAGGATTAAGGTCGCCTTCTAGCTTCAAGCTAGGGGGAATTTCCCTTTAGCTCAGTGGTAGAGCGTCCGACGAGGAACCTGGAGATCGAGGGTTCGATCCCCGGTAGAAGCACACTATTCACTTTCCTGTTACAACAGTTTTAAAACTACACTCGCTGGTCAATGTGATCCTTGCATATTTACGTGAGTAATGGTCCTATTTCAACAAAATTTGATATAGACATACATATTAACAGTTTTAAAACTAAATTCGCTGGTCAATGTGATCCTTGCATATTTAAGTGTTGCTAGTAATGGTCCTATTTCAACAGAATTTGCAGTTATCCACATTTCAATAACAGAATAATTATAACCTGTTGGAAACTTGAGTGACATGTTTTATAGGATACTAATCAATCAACAGGTTTTGGTATCTCTATGGTAACCTTTTCCCTGACATGAGCACCGTCTTTGTTGCCTTGGACCCCTGTATGAGAGACAACAGTTGTTAACAGGCCAGGGTTAGCGATTTACATATAGGAACATTTAATTGTTTTAAGTAAAGGTCTTTAGTACTTGATCTTCTTTAAAGGTCACAGACGACTTGTTCTGAAGAATCGAAAGGCATATAATCATAATATTTGGCTGGTAACTTCTTGCTAGTAAGTTTGTTCAACTTAATGTCCTTGTTTGATTTTCAAGGTCACGGGTCAAAATCTTTCAGCAGGTTCTTTCAGGTATCTTTATTTTAGTCCACTTTAAGGTTAAAAATGTGATATTAATTCCAGGTGAGTGATGCAGGCTCATTGAGCCTCTTGTTAATTTTTTACAGGAGCAGGAAATTTGGTTTGAGGACAGCATCTGAGTTTGAGCACGAGAATCCTGGATCTGCAATCATTACATTGTAGCTCTATCTGACTGAGCTAACTTGTAAACTGTATGTAATACCCTGGCTTGGTTGTGTTACAGTTACATCCAGGGGTGGTTACTCTATGTATGAAAATCTACACTAGATTTCTCGACTATTGTTTTGCCTGCAATGGGGGCAGGGATCCTTAAAATTGACTAGAGACCAATTTATCAGAAGATTGAAAGCTTAATTCATCATTATTTGAAACATGACACTGTGTCCGTCTGTCTGTCTATCCTTGAAATATTTCTTGAAATAGCTTCTTCAAAATTACCATTCAGATTTCAACACAAAATTCAAGATGACTTATTTATGGCCTTTTGATTGCTTGGTAGAGACATTTCAACTTCTTTTCCAGAATAGCCTTTCAGACTTTAACCAAACTCCCTACAATTGAAATATTATTGTAGTCCATATACTGATAGGTAGATTCAGATTGAGAAAAAGAAATCAACAATATAATCAGTAGCTGACTCGCTCATGCATTTTCTAGTTGATCTGACTATTCTTAATTCAGAAAAATCAAAAACTGTTGAACAGGTTATCTTTCTTTGAACATTCTTGCTTCAGAAAGTAATTGTTATACCCCCACGTCAACAAATTGTGTAGTACAGTGTATATATATATGTATATATATGTCTGTCATTCCAGTTTCCAGGCCACTGTTTCTGGTATGTACATCACATTTAATACATAAGTACATAATAATGTGAAGGTGCCATGTACCAAAACAGTAATACTGATACTTCTTTTTGACCTTTGAAATTGACATAAAGTACAAAAATACTGGTTTCCAGAACGTGTCTCGACCACTGTGTCAGATATTGACTTCGGACTTGGCATATGCAGGTAGGTACACAATGACAAGGTGCTGTGTTCCATAACAAAAATAGAAACACTTCAACTCTATTTGACATTTGACCTGTACCTCAAGTACATGTTCTGACATATATGCATTAAATAGTATCCAAAGTATTTTGGTTCATCATGAGACGGCATCGTGTTGCAGACCAAAATGGAAACTCCATGACCTAAATTGGCTTTGACCTTGACCTCATAAGCCAAATAGGTTTCATGCACAGACTTCAGTCTCAATATTTACGGTTCGTGCATCATGATGAGCACTGTTGTGCCCCAAAATGAAAAATAAGCAACTTAAACCTCTATTTTACCTTTAACTTTGACCTTGACCTCAAGTGCCAAAAAGGTACATCACATTTTGCAAATTGGACATAAATATATAAGTATTATTTATACGTTATTTATGCCATAGAACAATAAGTAATCAGTCAGATTTAGCTTAATTCCAATGGGGTCCCTTAAGGTCTAAATAAATCAATTCACCGAGTAGTTACATAATTATGTAATAGATATTGATATTTTGATAGGCCTCTAATTAAGACACAATCTTTTATTTCAATATTTTCAATCTTTTATAAACCTTATCGAAATGAAGGTTTTAAAAAAGTTCATATATCTTGCCCGAACTTCTGGTATCAAATTAAAGGTTCTACAGGTAAAATCTTACCAAAAGGTGCAGAGTATCATAACTGTTACTTACTTTTCTGTTGCAAAATGTCTTTGAATCAATTTAAATAAATTTCATCCTTATATAACCATATGAAATACAAAAATATGTTTGTATATCATCATAGAAAATTAAGAAATTTAATCTTATTCTTAGTAGAATAGTACATGTGGTAATTTAGACTCTACTGTGGATGCAATCGAACGGAACGATAAGATCATTCGAATGCACGCACCTGTTCAAGGGAAGTAATCCAAACCGAAAAGAAAATGGCGACGGAAGGCGTTCATAGCAACGTAGTTATATAATAAGATTTATCTGTGCAAAAATCTGTTAGTCATGAATTAGCTAAGGATATACGGATAAGATCAAGTGAGTTCCTATGTTTTTGAATATACCATATGTTATAATTATTACTTTAAAGACAAACCGGGTCATTTCGATAGAAAAATGACATGACCGTAGAGTAGGCGGCAGACTTGGTCTACTGCACAGTAGCGTAGATAGTAGTTAAATAGTTATGTCGGACATAGGCCTATATGTCGGACAGAGACTGCCATTAACAAATTTACTATATATTTAAACGACTATTTTTCAATTATTTTCCAATGCCAATGTAACAGGAAAGGGAAAATGCATGTCCAGACTGGGATTCGAATCTGTGTGATATCTCACTCTACCAATTGAGCTATCTGGTCGCCGAAGATTGACCAATTCAAGTTCCGCTACAATCTTACAAATATTGAATAGAAGCATATTTTTTGTAACACAAATGAGTCCACAGGGATCAGACACAAGTTAGAAAACTTAAAATTTGTCTTTGTCGCTGATTATGTACTAGCTTTCTGTGATAGTGTATAGCATGAATTGTTGTTATCTGTTTGCTTTTTATCATGTTTGTCGCAAAAATAGCGCTACAGCGCTAATGTTTCTATGTTTGATATATGCGACGTTAAATAAAGTTTCTTGTATCTTGTATCTTCTCCCTTAAACTAACATTGAGCTAACTCGTCACCAGTGATCAACCCATTCCAGTTCTGCTACTTTTGCAATATCAAGTGCCTACAATGTGCTGTAATCATCATTAATTTTCATACTTTATTTCTTACATTAGAGACTACAATATGGATCCTCGTGTCATGGCCATCATGGCTCAGCTACAGTCGAAGGAGGAGGATCACAGTCCTACCCCGGTCCTAGAGAAAGAGAAACCGCCTAAAACATTCGAAGAATTCATGAAGGTGGAAGGATTGGTGAGAATTATTTTCCTTACATTCATTGTGAAGCAATTTTTGTTTCGCCACTACTAAGTGGAAGCGAGACTAAGGTGTTGCTTTTCCAGCGACGGCGTCAACATCAAGTTTTTGCGTTTAAGTTAGTTTCTCTGAAAGCATAAGTGCAAAACCAACCAAACTTGGGCCATAGATGCATCTTAGGTAGTACAGCTCGACCCATGCATGAAGTGTTGGATGCGACCTATCTTTCATGGTCCATTGACTTTGTCAGCATCTCCATCAGCATTAAGCTTTTGCGTTGAAGTTAGTTTCTCTGATATGTGCATTGGTGGTCAAAGCGGGGCATAGGCGATACATATCGATCCGAATGGCTTGTATTGGGATCAGATTGGCCTGGTTACAGTATCATGAAATGATTTAATATTTTGTTTTTGAAATACTTTTAGATACTTTGCACATGTGTATTGTAGTGTATAAGACATTCCGGATATTACTATCTGTCCGCGCATAATACTAGTCACGATATTGAACTCTCCTGTATGGAGGTCAATAAAAAGAGTCTTCAGTTTACTACCAAACATGGCTGTTGTTCAGTTTGTTCTGAGGTCACAGAAACCCACATACACGACATAACATGGCGACGAGGACTGGTGAAGACCAAAGAAACTGAAACAGTAATGGTAGATGTCTACAAACTGATCAAAACAAGCTGGTAAGGCCGGTGCATGTCACAGAAAGCGTCCGAGACGTACTTTGGTTTCAACCACGTGAAATCGAGCGGATCCGAAAGGGGCGACTCGAGTNTGTCTGAGACGTACTTTCGTTTTCAACCACGTGAAATCGAGCGGATCCGAAAGGGGCGACTCAAGTATTTTATCATTTGCAATTTAGTCCAAACCAAGTGTCCACGATGACAGGACGTATCGGGCGAATAGATACATTTGATCAAGTTAATGAAAACTGGGACTCGTATAGTGAAAGACTAGAACAGTACTTCATCTGTAACGATGTCAAAGCGGAAAAGAAAGTTGCCGCGCTTTTAAGCCTCGTGGGTGGCAATACATACCAACTCTTGAGAGGGCTTACAGCACCTAGAAAACCGTCGGAAGAGACATTTGATCGGTTATTAGCACTATTGAAATCACATTTTAGTCC